TGAACGTGCGCAACGTGCAAGAGAACGACTTCGTAAAAAATTTGAGGAAGGACAACATTTATCACCGGGAAAAAACGAAATGGTGGATGGAATGAATAGAATAGAACACTGATAATCAATGATAGACAATGCTATTGTGAAGTTTATAATCATTCAATGATAGTACAATGCTATTGTGAGGTTTGTAATCATAGTTGCATATAAGATGACAGAGATAATTATATTCAAAGTTAAATAGGCAAAAGCCAAAAGCCAAAAGCCAAAAGTATTATTTCAAATTAAATTAGTAGAAGAAGAAGGTTTATACATTTGACAAAGTGTAATGAATTTAGTAACTTTTGCACTTTTATCAAATTATTCGTTTTGAAACTTTTTTTATTATTTTCGAAAAATAATTATTCTTATTCCGTTTTTTGAATTATTCCATTTTTGAGTTGTTCCATTTTTTGAATTATTCCATTTTTGAGTTATTCCATTTTTGAATTATTCCATTTTTCTGCTAGTAAATTATTTTAATTTTTCTCAAAAATTTTGAATAAAATCTTATCCCAAAAACATTTTTCTCTTCCTAACTGCGCCTTTTTTTACCTTTTTTTTTTTATAATATCCACTATAAATTTCATTGATTTTTTTAATGTTCGCATTTGTTTTCAATAAAATTATTTTCTTTCAGTTTACAGTTTGGGAAATAAAAATTTAAAAAAAAAAGAAAGGGAAAAACTTTTTTTGCAAAAAAATCAACAGTTTTGGAATTTTCAACGGTTTAAATTAAAATTAATTTTGAATGAGAAGTTTCGACTAGTTCAATTTATCCGTTAAATTCTATTTTCTCTATTTATCATTTAAATTTCATTTCCCAAACTTGTGCAATAATGTAGCAATTTGAAATATTTTTAGTTATATGTCTTAGTAAATCATTTCCGATATCTTACTAAATGTCTTACTAAATCATTTCCGATATTTTTGACTACGATCACTTTGTTGTATCATTCCGGAATGCAATTATTTTTGAATTTTCATGCATATATACATTCTTGTTTCTTTTTCCTTTCCTTTTTTTTAAATTCTATTTCAAATTATATATACTATTTTTAGTAACTCTTTTTTCTTTTTATGCCCTGCATAAATACAACAGCTTTTCCGTTTTTTTAAAAAAACAAAATTCTTGAAAATTTGCAAAATTTTAGATTTATCATTTAATTGCAAGAATTTGATTTAACCATTTCAAATCATCTACTATTATTACAATCTATTCATTAACAATCGATAATTTTTTTTTTACATTTTAAAAATTAGCCTATTTTTATATGACATGCGACACTTTGTTACTTCAATTATTTGAATTACTTAAAATATCACCCTATACTTGTATGCCATATATCTGTTTGCTTTCATACTTTTTGAATTGATATAAAAATTGATGGATGTGATAAAATTTCAACCAAACAAAAACACAAAATGAAATATTTGCTAAGTTCACTGATAAGACACTGTTATGTTCACTGATAAAATTTCAAAGATATGAAATAATTTATCGTAAAATTGGATGATAAAATGATCTAGAGAGCCATAATTTGGCGACATCACTATTGGCCATGGAAGAAATATTGTTTGTCTAATAATACTTCGTCCTTTCTTTTTCTTTTTTTCGTTCATATCCTTAATTTTTAAAAAAAAAAGTTAAAAATTTAAATTTGAATAGTTACACCATTAAATTATATCTATAAGAGGAAGAGAATATGAAATATGTGATACAGAATAGAATTATAGGAAAAGTTTAAAATAAAAGTATGATCATTTCCGGTAGATTAGATTAAAAATTCCCGGTAGATTGGATCGAGAATTCCCGGTAGATCGGATCAAAAATAACAAGAACATTTTCAGATCGAAATTAGAACTCTTCTATTTGGGCGGTAAAAATTCCGGTAATATTTATTGTTGAAACCTTTCACATTTTATCATTATTATAGCAATGGATTCAGTTACATTGCTTTATTGGACAATATCATTTGACAGTATTGTTGTCATTATATCGTTAATGCTTTTTAATATTTTGAGAATTTAAGATTTAAATTTAGAACTTAAAGATAATTTGTGGAATTATTTTATTTTAAAATGATTTCATGAATTCTATTTTGGGAATTTCAGATTTAAATTTAAGATTTGAAGATAATTTGTGGAATTATTTTAATTTAAAATGTTATTTCTATGAATTCTATTTTGGGAATTTCAGATTTAAATTTAAGATTTGAAGATAATTTG